ATGATGGTGGTGGTCATAATGGTGGTGGTAATGATGGTGGTGGTCATAATGGTGGTGGTCATAATGGTGGTGGTCATAATGGTGGTGGTAATAATGGTGGTGGTCATAATGGTGGTGGTAATGATGGTGGTGGTCATGATGGTGGTGGTCATGATGGTGGTGGTAATGATGGTGGTGGTCATAATGGTGGTGGTAATGATGGTGGTGGTCATAATGGTGGTGGTAATGATGGTGGTGGTCATAATGGTGGTGGTAATGATGGTGGTGGTCATAATGGTGGTGGTCATGATGGTGGTGGTCATGATGGTGGTGGTCATAATGGTGGTGGTCATAATGGTGGTGTTGATGATGGTAATGCTGGTGGTGGTAATGATGGTGGTGGTCATAATGGTGGTGGTAATGATGGTGGTGGTCATAATGGTGGTGGTCATGATGGTGGTGGTCATAATGGTGGTGGTCATAATGGTGGTGGTCATAATGGTGGTGGTCATAATGGTGGTGTTGATGATGGTAATGCTGGTGGTGGTAATAATGGTGGTGGTCATAATGGTAGTGGTCATAATGGTGGTGGTCATAATGGTGGTGATAATGATGGTGGTGGTCATAATGGTGGTGGTCATAATGGTGGTGATAATGATGGTGGTGGTCATAATGGTGGTGGTGATGATGGTAATGCTGGTGGTGGTAATGCTGGTGGTGGTAATAATGGTGATGGTAGTAATGGTGATGGTCATAATGGTGGTGGTGCTGCTGATAGTAATGGTCATAATGGTAATGGTCATAATGGTGGTGGTCATAATGGTGGTGGTAATGATGGTGGTGGTCATAATGGTGGTGGTCATAATGGTAGTGGTCATAATGGTAGTGGTAATAATGGTAGTGGTAATAATGGTGATGGTCATAATGGTGGTGGTGCTGCTGATGGTAATGGTCATAATGGTGGTGGTCATAATGGTGGTGGTCATAATGGTGGCAGTGGTCATGATGGTGTTATGGTGGTTGATGTATATTTTAAAGAATACTGGTAAAGGTATAGTGGTGGTAATCATTATGGTAATAATTTTAGATTCATAATTTCTCAGTTGGTTACCTCAGAATTTACAGTATGGTTAGGTGTGGAACAATACTTTGCCACTGCCTCTCGGGCCTCAAGACTTCCTAAATTAATAAAGTTCATCATATAGTGCATGCATGTAATTGTTCAATCAGGATATGTCCTTGACAAGTAAAATCGTCTGGCATTAGACAGAGTAAGATAATAAAGTAGGGTGCATTGGGGTGCAATGCAGCTTAATGGTTTAAAGAACAAGTCTTGAATACCATTATTTTATGAAGTCATAATTACCATGTGCTGGTCTATAACCATTGTCCTTGCCAGATTTGATTGCATTGCAAAATGCTTCAACACATCTTTCACTTGGTGGCAAGTTGCCAAACACACTTGGATCTCCTAAAATAATATACAAATCATTGTCACATTAATAACTCCAGTAAATCGAGGGGAACATTAATATTATAACACAGCTGAAGTTGCCGACTGACCAACCTGAGCGCTGTTCCAAATGGGGGGTGTCCCCCCAAGAAAAGTTAGGGAAGGGGGCCAATGTGCCCAGAGGGGGGCCCCAAATGCTGGAATTGCGGAACGTGTTAAGATCTGTTACTACCATTTGCAAGCAACCGCAAAATCCAAAGTTTTTTTCACGTTTGTTTACGTTTCAAACGAACACGATGGGCGGGTCAAACGTGCATGTTGAAACGTAACAACAATTAGTTTGAACCGCGAAATAGTGACGTTTGACAAATCTCGCCCAAACGTCACTATTTCGCGGTTCAAACTAGGCCTAATTGTTGTTACGTTTCAACATGCACGTTTGACCCGCCCATCGTGTACGTTTGAAACGTAAACAAACGTGTTAAGGTCTGTTAAATATTTAGGAATATTGTGAAAAATGGATGGATGACTCCAGCTATATACTAAATTTTGATCAAGGCAAGAAGAACGAAATCCAACACTACAGCTGGAACAAGCGTCGTAGAATGAGTAAAACTGCAAAGAGTGGTTGCTAATTGTTGTAAAATGAAGAAAATATAGCCCTGTGAAGTTCGCAAATTTTGTACAGTATATTTGTATTACGCGGTAAAAATAACCACTTTCGGCTCAAAAATGGTTATTTTTACCGCGCGTAATACAAATATATACAAAATTTGCGAACTTCACAGGGCTATATTTTCATCATTTTACAACCTTGTGCATGCAAACTTTGCAATTTTACTCATTTTAAGATGCTCTTTCCAGCTATGGTAATGGATTTCGTTCGTCTTGTCTAGATCAAAATTTCGTCTGCCGCTGGAATCACCCATTGAGGTCGAAAAATTCTGAAGTTTTTTTTTACCCAAAACAAGTTTGAAAAAAAATTTTTTGGACCTTTTATTTTCAGGAAAACGTATACCTCCCCCGCAGCAAAACCATACATACCAACTGTAAGTCGAATCACTTTCATATCTGGATTTGGTTCAATCTTCATTGTATCTACAACATCTCTGATTGGATTGAACGTGTTCTCTGCAGTCTTAGAAATTGGGACCACCCAGTGCCTTCGTTTGCTTGCAAATATATGTACTGTTTAAACAGGAACAAAAATGAGAATTGTTCAAAACATTGGTGATGACTTGTACACAATAATAGTGTTCTTCCATCTACTATCCAGATTCTTTATTCTACATAATATTACCATGGCATATGTCAGTGGTCCAGGATATAATTACTGTGTGCTCCAGTGATGTAGTCAGAGAGGGGTGGACCCACCTGGAAAAATATTAGGCCCCGCTTGGAAAATGTCTGCCAGTACAAACATGTGCATTATATTTTTGTTTCTTGTAACGTAAATTTTATATCTTGCTATGTTTTAAATGTTCTGGATTCGTTTGTGATTAAGTAGAGTTGTTATGTGTTAAATGGTTATTCAAAATCACCAAAAACACATTAAAATAAAATAGCCTCCAAAACGGTGAAACACTTTACCGAATCTAGAATTTATATTTTGCATCGACTATGTTATGCATTGATAGCGTGGGAGTCCAAATACATTTTCACATAATAAACAAGGGTAAAATCCCCCCCCCCCCTGACTAAAAATCCTGGCTACGTCACTGGTGTGTTCTAGAGCATTATGAGTTATCCGGCACTTGTAGTGGTCCGGAATTTCTATGCCGCCCGCGTAAGAGGATTTACGTTAATTTCAAGGACTTACGTACGTTGAACAAACAACATTCTTGTCATTCTTACTATTCTTTGTCTATGATGTGAAAGCGTTTTTGGTCATGATCACTTATTAATGTCTACAAATAGTGTTGAACTGCAATGTCATTAACAATTTCTAGACTTGTGGCCAGAAAATTATTTCAGAAATTATCATATTAAGCGTGGTTTCCATATGGTCGTGACGATCGTAAAGATTGAGTCACGATCTTTCTCATCAGCCGAAATACAACATTTTAGAACTGAAAATACGCGGAGTGATACTAGAGAATACTTATGATTTATGTGACATACAGGTATAAACTATTATATTAGAATGTTAGGGTTTGTAATCCAAGTGATTATATACATTTTAAGACCTGACCAGGAACGACTGCGAAAAATGCAGCACAAGGTCCTCTGGTAGGAATTGAACCTACGGCCCTGCGATTCCGGTGCAGCGCTCTAACCAACTGAGCTACAGAGGCCAGCTGTTGAGCTGTAACAGTAAGTTCATGTATATATAGGTGATCGGGTGTGCAGGTTGTGAAACTGTTATAAACTGGCCGTCGAGAAAGATCGTGACTCTATTTTTACGACCATGTGCACAGACCTCTCAACTTTGCAGAGAAATTAAGAGTGAGATTGGGGATGTGGAAGACCCCTTTGTAAAAGTCCGGCCGTCCGGGGGTCTGAAATGGCATTTCGTACATGATGAGAGTTGGTGTTTTTTAATGAAATACATTGCTTCATAACGTCCTTTAAGACAAGGCACTTTAGTTACAATAACTGTATTTCTGCGACATACAGTAATCAGCTTTAATTTGCCTTTGATAATTTACATATAAAATTCTGCTCCGACTGATTCTTCCTTTTGACCGCCGTATTTACATATGCGTACTATTTTGTATCCAAATTGCGGGCAAAATGTCGGGCCGTATATGCAGGAACATGAATTACACGCGATTATATATTCGATTTGCGATCCGTATAATGATTAATAATGTGCCTTTAAGAATACAATATTATATTATTGAAAAAATACTATGAAACTGCTATATGCGTGAGATTTACTAAACGTGGCGTGAGAGCGTCAGAGTGAAGCGAATTGCGTGAGACTCACGCCGAATGCGTGAGAGTTGAGGGGTCTGTGTGCATGGAAACCATGCTTTATAAGCACAAAAAGCAACACCAAGAACTATATGGTTTCAGCAATATTATATATTCTCATATAATATTCTCATCGCTTCACGCTTGTATGAATACACACGTGTCTGTGAGCAGGCTCTCAGAATATTTGCTCTTTCACAGTTCGAAAAAAAAGTCGACTTTTGTGTGTAGACAAGTTTTTCGTATGTGAATGGATTTCGTAGAATTCTAGAAGTTCTAGAATTCTGAGAAATCCATTCTGGATTTCTTACCATTCTAGAATAGTTCTAGAATTCTAAGAAACCAATCTCAAATTCCAGTCAAAACATACGAAAAAAAATGTCTACACGTCTATAAGTCGCCCTTAAGGCCTTTATAGACAGTTTATAGACTCGCCTAGAAAATTCTCCTCCAAAACTTAAGACTTTCGTTTTTGTGTAAATTTACTTGTCTTTTTAACAAATACAAGACCTTCTTGGCGAACTTTTTAGCAGAAAACTGTATTTTACAGTAACGTCACTAACGTATGTGTGACGTGGATATATTTCCTCATCGGTTTGTAAAGACTAAAGTGTAATTATTATTTCCGAGGTTATTTCCTGTTTTTTAAGGAGATTTGCCTAGCGTCGAAGCCAGGAGATAAAATATTGTTGGAAACTGATGTATATTAATATAAGCATTTTGTCGTTACTTCGATAAAACGGACTAAAAAGACCTGGCTAATAATTGGGGTTCACAAGTTAGGTTAACATATTTGAAGGGAAGATTAATAACACAAGATACTGTCTGAAGTTAGGCAAGCAAATTATTCAATATGGCATGATGTATATCTATATATAGGTAATCTAGCAGCATTCGTACAGTTACATCAAGAAATTGTCTTATCTTTCTCTTCTCACTATAAAGCAGTAATACAATATAATACGTGTCATGTCACATGTGTCATGGCGTGAAGTCTGCACACTTCGAAGCGCTCTTCCGACAAAATCTGGACTAAAACTAGTAAAGACCGATTTACAGTATACAACTTTTGCCTAAAACTGTCGCATGCTGAACCTCATGCTTACAACTTGAGTTATACTGTGCAAATCAAGCACACAGCTCACCTATGAGATAGCGTAGGTGAGTTATGTGCTCGATTTACATGCAACAGTTTTAGGCGCAAGGCACAACCAAAATTTATCATATAAAAATTTATATACAGGCAGCGTTAGGGTATGGTTGTGCATATATCGAGAAAGCATCGAAATGATAAAAAGCCAATTATATTTTATCGACTTGCAATAGGACTCGATGATAAGCAAGGCTCGATGCTCTTCTCGCCTCTCGGTTCTCATGTTCTTGAAAACTACAGCTATATAGGTATAAAACACTTGCGAAAGATTCTTTATATTTCTTATATATAGGAAATAAATACAATGGAGAATAAGGGTAAAAGTAGCCTAACAGACGGTCACTCGGTGAGTGAAGCTGGGATCAAACGAAGATGAGAATAATGCTGTCCCAACCCTTTGAAGACTTCAAGTATTTTATTTAAGGCAACACAACATGCGGTTTTTAAGAAATTTAAAACACGAACATATAAAAATTTGTACAAGCTGTAAGATGGCTACAAATGAATCTCCTAACATCAATATTAGGCAAGCATTCTGCTTTTGCCCTTTGGGCAGAAAAAAGCGAAATCGTAAGCGACAGGCTGCGACATCTGCGCGTTGCACCGCCCTTTATATGAGCGCTCTTGTCTATAACTATATAAAGTGCCAGTACGACGTGTCATTAATGTTGACGTACAATTTTCTAAACTAGGTTTACCTTAAACTCTAGAAACGAGAATGAAATGTAACGGATTATTATAGGGAACATTTAAAGCTCTAGATTAACAAAATAAAGGTTTGATGGAAGTGTTCCAAATACGTTTTAACAAATTTTGAATGTCGGCCAGAAAACCACAATCGTTATTTTTTGTTCCGTAAATACTATTACAAGTTCAGGTCCAACTGCTATAATTTATATGTTATAAACGAGGAATTACAGTAAGTTATCACAAAAAACTTGTCCAGGAAACTTTATAAAAATCGTTAGTTTATAAACATTTCGTCTTGAATGTTCCATGCCAATTTTCTGTGCCAGTCAGTGAACAATACAAACTTCGAATTTGTACACATGATGCGACACCTGAAAAATACAACACAATTTCGACGATTCGAGCGAAGCCTTAAGGCCCTTCGTCTGGAAATTACTGAAGTTGTAGCCTTCGCTCGAAAGGTTGAAGTTCTTTATGCAATTTTCAAGTAGTTGCATCATCTACGTTGGTTACGGAACTAGCGGTCTCGGCAGTGTTGTTGTTTTAAATATTCTCGCCATTTTCTTTAATACTACGCGGTTGATCGATGACGAAGTGTTTTTAACCTCTACGACTTCTTTTCAAAATACTCTGCTTCGAACAACTTTATTTAGTCTTAGATTGATAGTGGAGAAAAATACCGAACATATTTTATAGATAAACGAACTCGCTTAGGTCTAGGGCAGTTAGCCACGACCAAAGTTTAATAACTGCACACAATTCATTTACGTACACAACTGAAAAAGTATTTTAACATCAAATAATTTGTTGAAAACGTGGCTTAGTGATTTGCCACCTTAATTTATTAAACCCTCAACCAATCTTAATATTTTAGTCATTTTATAGTCGAAACCATTTGGCCATAACTAATGACACATGTCAACTCGTAAAATTTCATGACGCATTTTATATCTTTACGATTCAAATAACTCTACTTGGTCTTGGGTTTCCAATGTTTTCATTTTTAGCTTCTTTTGTTAATAAACTAAAAAATTCTACCACAAATACAAGTTTCCTATTAAATTTAGAAAGAGCTTATTTACTTTATAGTAGAAGCAAGACACGCGCTTTTGAAATACTAGCCAGTAAATATAAAATACTATCAAACTCGCGACTCTAAAATAAAACTTCGTTTAATACTTGTGACATTAAAATAAAACTTACATAACTTTTACTTATAAACAAGTTGATTCTGACTTACCTTGCTCCATATTAAAGTTCGTGAGATTGTTGAAATAAGCCGAAAACAAAGCGGAGAAAAAACCTACTCGTCTCGAGTGAAAACGTGAGCGCTTATAGTTGTTATAGTATAAACGTAGTCGGTCTACTGTCACTGAGGGGGATTTGCCTTGACCTTTCCCAAAACACACCCCCAAACCTCCCCAAACAAACCCGCGAAACAAGACATTTAGATGGACTGACATGAATAAATTATATTAAAATTATTTTACAACGGGAAATTGTGAAACATGTAATTTCACACGAGTTTGATTATTGTATGCTTGTTAAAAAGGGACAAAACATCAAGATCCATATATATATATTAAGATCCATATATGTATGTCAAAATTTGATATATATGTATTAAGATTCATATATATGTATCAAAAACCGTATATGTATGTCAAGATTCATATATATATGTCAAGATTCATATATATATATGTCAAGATTCATATGTATATGTCAAGATTCATATATGT